AAAAAAAAAAAAATTCCTACTGGACCTAAGAGGTAGAATTAAAAATGCCCCATTTTTTAACTTTTCAAAAATGCTATATTGTTTTAGGTGCCATTGAGTCTGTCCTGACTCAGAGCCACCCTGTGTACAAAAGAACAGAACACTGCCCGGTCTTGTGTCAGTTGTTATGTTTGAGTCCATTGTTGCAGCTGTTGTCAAGCTTTTGTCCAGTGTCTGCCCACTTTGTCAAAGGTCTTCCCTTTCATTGGCCTTGTACTTTACCATGCGTGATAGCCTTTTTCAGAGACAGAAACATGCCTAAATACATGAGATAAAGTCTCACCAAGCTTGCTTCTAAGAATCCTTCTGGTTGTACTTCTTCCAAGATGGATTTCTGGGTGCTAGTAAGTCCCAAATCTGAAGTTTAGCCATCCAGCTGGAAGATCCTTTTTATCCTCATCCACAAGGCTGCAGAAGTTGGTAAAATTTCCATCAGGAAAACAAATGTTGTTTGATAGGAGTAACAAAAGCTGTGGTTCAGAGAGCTATATTAATCATTCTACATTGGAGGAGTGTTCTTTTTTATTCGGGGCCAGCTTTGGTCTCGGGTACATTGGCTCTCTGTCCCTGGTTTTCACAGAGAGGCTTCCTTACTGATTCTGCTCTTCTTCTAGCCTATCTTTCCTTAGATTCCGAGTTGATTGCTCTCTAATACCAATTTTGGAGGGTTGAAGAAATTTGTCAGGTTGTCGATTATGCATTTTTATTTAGATGGAAGAGATGTGCTCTCTTTCCAATTTTAATTAGAGGCAGAAGTTGAAAAACTAATTACATCTATTATTTCAGTAAAGATTAGAAATAGTACATATTACAATCACTGGCATATTAGATTCTATGAACAAGAAAAGTATCATTAGAAAAGAATGTCATGAGGATGTGAATCTTGTTTGGGTTTAAAATTCTTATTAGAGCATTGACTAAGAAGAAAAAATTCTCGAAGGTGGTAACTATTGTGATCTCAGATGGTGATTTCCCTTTAAACCCAAGCATATTCAATTAAAGATATCTCCAATGGATATTCTCATTTTGTTTTTAATCATTTGTGTGTCATCTTCTTAAAGAAAATGTTCTTTCTCAGCACCTCGTGCTCCAACCAACTGGCGCCTGGGAAAGCTCCTGGGTCAGGGAGCCTTCGGCAGGGTCTACCTCTGTTACGATGTCGATACAGGAAGAGAATTGGCTGTTAAACAAGTTCAGTTTGACCCAGATAGCCCTGAGACCAGTAAGGTAAGAATCACTGCACAAAGCTGCATCGTTACATTACTAGAAACATTTTTTACTAAAATAAATAAAACACATATATAAATACTTAAATAAATACAACACATATATAAATACAAAGTATTTAAAATAACAAATAATTGGATATCTTTAAACTGTAGATTTTTCTTTTTCTGTTTATCAGTTAAATTCCTTGTTTTTAGCATACTATTTTGGTTTTTATCAAGAATTGCTACAAATATTATTTTAGGACACTAAAATATTTATTCTATAGGAAGTTAAAATATCAGAATATCACCTTGGTGGTTCATGGAGTTTGGATTTAGTTCTTACTTCGAAATATTGTAAGGGCCTAATAATGAATTCTATCTTTCAGGAAGTGAATGCACTTGAGTGTGAAATTCAGTTGTTGAAAAATTTGCTGCATGAGCGAATTGTTCAGTATTATGGCTGTTTGAGAGATCCCCAGGAAAAAACACTTTCCATATTTATGGAATATATGCCAGGGGTAAGTTAACCAAATCTTTTGAAAAAGAGACATACTCTATTTAAAATCTTAGCAGACCAAGGAAGAACAATAAAATATCTGATTATGGAATGTGAACCTTATTTAACCTTTTGGAAGAATTTTGCATTAGAGCTTGGTAATATAATTTCATTTCTTTTCTTTTTTTTAAAATATAATTTCATTTCTCATCCTCTTCATCTATCTGTAGGAGCCCTTGTAGCAATGTGGATACATGTTGGGCTGCTAACTACAAGGCAGCAGTTTGAGTTCACCAGTTGTTCCATGGGACAAAGATGAGATTTTCTGCTTCTGTAAAAATTTACAGCCTTAGAAACCCTAGGAAGCAGTTCTACTTTGTCTTATAGGGTCTCTGTGAGTCGGAATCAACTCTGTGCAGTAGACTTTGGCTTGGCAATCAATCTATATTTGGAATTTTAAAACTTACTGTATATATGTGAGTATAAGCTGACCTGAATATCAGCCAAGGCACCTAATTTTACCACAAAAACTGCATTAAAAATGTGCCGGAAAACGTGGCTTCTACACGAGTATATACGGTACTTATTTTTGAATGCTGAATTATTCTAGACTACAGCCATTATAGCAGTATGAGCTTGGAATATTTCAAAATATCCACAGATATTTTTATTAATAAACATTAATATTTGTATTAATAGATATTGGTATTTTATTGATGTTAATCAACAAAATATTGCTATTTTAGTAATAACTATTCATTGATAAAATATTCCTTAAATATTTAAAAAATATTCATTCTGTCTGGTTTGTTAAAACTACATTCGGTGCTATACATCACAGTTAGTTGTTATTTCCCTCAATTCTTTTTTTATCTATAACAGTCAATTTATATATAACATTGATTTGACAAGACAGGCTGTTTTTGTATTGACAATTTCATCTTATGATTTGTCTAATAGCATCCTCAGTGTTTGTTAATTTTTTATTCCTTTAGCCCCAGTGTTTCCCTATAAACTGCAAGTTAGATGAAAGTCCAAATTAAATTCAAACTCATTGTGTTTTTATTAGAATACATCATGGATAATGCTGTATACTTTATGATGTATAACATCAGAAGACATTCAATTTCTGGTTATCTCACTGTTGATAATTCTAAGGTTAACTGCTTGATTGGGATGATTATCATCCTTACTACTCTATTGTAAAGTTTTATTTTTTCTTGATGACCAGAAAGTGATCTGTGGTATTACGTTGGCATTTGAATGGCCCATTTTTTCTCTTTCAGTAGTTTAATTGACATAGTTCACAAATTATACGATTCAATAGTGTATTCATATTAACAGAAAGAATTGTATGCTCATCACCACAATCAATTTTAGGATAGTTTCTTCTTTCTGTACACATTGTTGTTAGCTCCCCATTTTCCCCCAGCCCCCCGTTCCGTGCCCCTCCCAAACCAAACAGAATCACTGCCATGAAGTCAGTGCCAACTCATAACAACTAGAGGACAAGGTAGAACTGCCCCCGTGAGTTTCCAAGACTGTCTATCTTTACAGAAGTAGAATGCCCCACCTTTGTCCCTCAGAGCAGCTGATGGTTGTGAACCTACTGACCTTGCAGTTAGCAGCCCAACCTGTAACCACTACAGTACCAAGACTCCTGCCATGCCCCTAGGAAAATATTAATTCAGTTACTGTTGCTATAGATTTCCCTATCCTGAATTTTCGTATACAGCAAAACATATAAAACCAAATAATAAAGAAAAACAACGACAAATCAGAAAAACCTCTATAGAAAAGACAGCGGAAAATATTAAAAATGAAGATAAATATAAAATGGATTAAACGGGCAATCAAATGACAAAGTGTCACATTCTAGCCAAACTACATCAGCAGTGATACCCTGTAATACACTCTGCCTGATAACAAGGCCATTCACATTCCTGCTCCATAGTCAGAGGGAGTTCAGGAGACTTAATCCATATGGAGAACCTGCAAAATGGATTTTGGGTTTTATTCCATGCTTTGTCAGTCATCACACAGTGTTTTTAACACAAATTGATCTTTCTTGCTTGAGTCAGTGTGTGTTGCAAAATAAGGATTTGCAAAATGTGATTTTCAAATTTTATCATTTCTCCTTACAAAAAACCGTATGGAGGCCACATCTGACCTCTGGCTACTCAAGGGAGGAAATCCATCTCCACATCAGCCCAAGACTAATTGTCACCAGGCAGAGGTCAGGCATGCCTTTATCCCTCATCTTTCTTTTCCTTATTCTGATACCAACAGTTCCTCCCACGACATTCTACTTATCTGTTGGGTTCACTAATTCGTTGCACTGGCCACAGAGAATGCACAGATAACACTCACAGTCATGGGGGTTTATTAGGGAATTGGATCAGAAAGCATTAACAATGTAATATTTTGTTTATAACAGCACCTCCTCTCAGTCAGCAGTCAGGGTTCTCTCTGGTCCTCAGTGGTCTGGTCCTCACTGTCAAGTAGATTCAGTGCTGCTCCTCTGTCCTGTCCCATCGTTTCCTTGGCTAGGCTTCTGATCTCTGTGTGTCATGGCTTCTGCTTCCTCTGCACTTCATGCAGGGAGGGATATCACATGTGCTCTGCTAGTGGCTCTTCTTCCATGATGGCCCAGAGAATTCATTATTTCTCTGCTTCTGATGGCTATCCTTATACATAGAGAGATGGCAACCAATGCTAACTAATCTCCTCTATTAATATTTCATTCATCCTATTTGGATAGTCCCACCTAATTGTTAGGTCAGTGGAGTTACAGAGACATGGATGCCTAAACTCCAAACACACTACCATCCAGTCTATTCTGACCCATACCAACCTTATAAACTGCCCCTGTAGATTTCCAAGACTAACTCTTTAAGGGAGTAGAAAGTTTCATCTTTCTCCCAAGGAGCGCTGCTGGTTTTGAACTGCTGACCTTGTAATTAGCAGCCCATTGCATAACCACTACACCAGCAGGGTTCCTTAGCGACATGGATAGAAGAGTTAAAAAAGTTGGATAAAACATGGATAAAAAAGTTCACTGCACTCCTATATTACTTTTAGGATTTGTAGAGTACATTTAATGCTAATAATTTTCTGGTAGTAATTTTATTTCTATTTAAATGTGCATGCATTCCTATAATTTAACAACCAATTTTTTAAAAGGAGTTTAATGTATAGATCTTTAAGGGGATAGCTAAGGAGTCCTGTTGGTGCAGTAGTTAAAGCATTCACCTGCCAACTGAGAGGTCCGAGTGTGGCACTGGAACCCAACAGCCTTTCTGCAGGAGAACAATGTAGTAGTCTGCTTCTGTGGAGATTATGTAGCCTGAAAAGTTCCCTACTGGAAAGTTGTAGGATCTTTGTACGTTGGAATCAACTCCATGGCAACAGGTTTAACATGTTAAATGTAAAGGTGTAGCTCATTAGAATTGAATGTATAAAGTTACAATTCAGCGTATGATTCAGTAGATCAGTGCATCAGTAGTGACATCAGCAGTAACATGAAGTATTATCCCAATTCTGCCTTACAAATCTGGCAAGACCAGAGGATGTACACGGGTACAGATAGGAACCAGAAACACAGGGAATCCAGGATGGATGATCCCTTCAGGACCAGTGGTGAAAGTGGTGATACCGGAAGGGTGGAGGGAAGGTGGGGTAGAAAGGGGGAACTGATTACAAGGGTCTACATATAACCTCCTCCCTGGGGGATGGACAACAGAAAAGTGGGTGAAGGGAGATGTCGGAGAGTGTAAGAGATGATAAAATAATAATAATTTATAAATTATCAAGGTTCATGAGGGAGGGGAAAGCAGGAAGGGAGGGGGAAAACGAGCTGATATCAAGGGCTCAAGTAAAAAGCAAATGCTTTGAGAATGATGATGGCAACAAATGTACAAATGTGCTTGACACAATGGATGGAGGTATGAATTGTCATAAGAATTGTACAAGTCCCCAGTAAAATGATTTAAAAAAAACAAGACCACAAAGAAATTAAGACAGATTTATTCAATATTTATATATGTATAGAGAGGATTCAGATTCTTATTAAAAAAACCAAATTGCTTAATGTAGGCAAATTAAAATGCTTACAAAAAGAATAGAAAAATCAAACCCTGACTAATCTTAAGGTGATTAATTGAACCCTCCCACCTCACTGAGATTAGTTGACATCATGTTGCTAGGTAGTCTCTGGCCTGGTGAGGTGGGGTGAGCGTTCATTTGTACAAATCTTTACTTGTAGTCTTGAGGTTTTTAAATGATAAAAAGTACTTCAAGAAAAAACTACCCAAAATTACAGGAGTAGAAGGTCTCATCTTTCTCCCACCGAGCAGCTGGTAGTTTCAAACTGCTGACCTTCAGTTAGCAACCCAACACATAACCCACTATGCCACTCAAAAAATCAAAACAAAACTCACTGCTATTAAGTTGATGCCGACTCATAGCAACCCTGTAGTACAGGTAAGAACTGCCCTTGTGGGTTTCTAAGACTCACTTTTCACAGGAGTAAAAAGCCAACTTGCACCCAGGGAGCAGCTGGTTTCAAACTTCTGATCTTGCACTGAGCAGCCAATGTATAACCACCACACCATTGGAGTTCTTCTAGGGTTTCTATAAGTATGAGTTGAGAAACAAATTGTTAATAAAATTTTAGATAGTTGACTTAAAACTAATTTACATTACAAATGGAGATGCATAATTTTTACATGTTCAGCAATCTTCAGACCAAAATCATTTGACTATTCAAGAAGTGTTAGATTGTGTTTCACTTTAGTTACACTTGATTTTGCAATAGCATCTATCTTATTCATAGCATAGATTGTCATTAATGAAATGTAAAGGTTTGTTACAAAGTTAATAATTGATACAGCTAAATAAATTATATAGCACATAAAACTTGTATGTCAATTGTTGTCTTGGATATTCCTGAATCCTTGGGCTTGAATTATGCTTTATAATTTTGTTTATTAAATTTTATGTGATGGACTCCTTTTTTACCAAGGATCCAAACTTTGCTAAAATTTACATTCATTTTGTAATTTAAGGTGGGAGTTGGGTTATGTCGTCTTTCTTAAATTGCTTATAATGCGATAATTGCAAACTCAATGTGACAACAGTGGGTTTCTGAGTAGTTAGAACATAATTAATTACAGGACATTCTTTCTTTAGAAACAGCCAGCTCAAGCGGAGCCTTTCCTGTGGGAATATATGTGGGAAATTTAGACAAGACTTGGCATCAGGGTCTTTTTCTGGAGATAATGTTTCTACGTGTTATCGGAAGATACCAGTCCCCGAAGGAAGGACATCGTGCTTGGTATAGTAGAGGGACAGTGACAAAGAGAAAGACCCTTGATGAGATGGAGTGACACAGTGGCTGCAACAATGGGCTCAAACATAAGAACAAATGTGAGGATAGCCCAGGATTGTGCGGTGTTTTGTTCTGTTGTGCATTAGTTCTGGCAGAATCAGGTTGATGGTACCTAACAAAAACATTGCTTCTACATCTTTAACTGGAAAGACATTTCCTCAGCTTCATAATTAAGTCTTATACAAGCGTTGAGGAAAAACAGTAATAAAAAATAGAATGAGGCTCAAGCCTCAAGCCAACTATTCAGATTAACCTAACACCTCTATTTTAAATTCACTTTTCAGTACAGGAAAAATACCCCAGATTTCAAATATACTTTATAGAGACCCTTTTATTAAGTCTTAAATGGACAAAGATTATCATTCAGGAAAAGGGAAGCCATCAGCAGGTACACGTTACGGAGGCCAAATGAATTCAGCTGACTCCTGGTCATGGGGCTTGTTATAGTTGATAGAAAACAAAGGAAACCGTCACAACTCTTACTGACAGCAGGCCCCAAATGAGAGAGGGATGGGACCATGACTGGAATGTGTATACAATTATATGTTATAAAAAGGCTTGTCGTATTGGTTCTGGAGCTTTGATTATCTGGCTATGTGATCAGAATATGACTCATGACTATATGGTCCTGAATTAGTTATCAGGACCCCCAACTTTTCATTACATTATTAAGGACGTACCCAGACAAGTCCCCAAGTTCTCCTGCAAGCCTGGGGGCAATTGTCCCTCCCTGAGTGAAACCAGGAATTAGAATCTTTCCACCACGCTTCTCTGGAGTACAAACTGTCCCTCCCCCTTCCTAGGTTTGCCTGACCTGTCTAAACATAGCCATATCAGTATTTCAGTGGTCATAAAGAATTCAAAGTACGTGTGAACGTATGCTAAGAATTGAGATGGAGCTAGAGCGCCCACTGTAGATTATAGCCTTCTACAAACCAGGCGCTTTGGACTCTTAGCTCTAATACACCGTACACAGTAGATAGGATGGGGTTTACACAGCAGAGATTGCCATCAAGTCCATTTCAACTCATAGAACCCCTATGGGACAGAGTAGACCTAACTGCTCCAGACGGCTTCTTTTACTATTAATAAGGATCTGTACCCTGGAGGGCCAGAGCCAATTCACTAACTCCCACGTTAGAGGAAAGGAGAGGGGTTTTGTGTTTTTTTTTTTTAGAAGGTGCCACCAACAGTACGGAGGCCAACAACAAAACAGGTATTTTGATGGTGCCCTGTTTAAAATAAAAATATATAGAGAAAAATCACTTCTCAGCCTTTTGGCTAAGATCAAGGGCAAAATACATAGAGAATATATACTTTTTACTTTGGAATTTATATCATGGAGGTGGTGTGGGGTGTCACATACAGATGTTTGACATCATTTCAGTTTTCAGGATACCCAGGGGAAACAGTTATTGACCATGAGCAAGTAAACAGAACCAGAAGGTTCTTTAAGTCATAGGACAGCCTCAGGATGTCTTTTGACTAGTCATGTAGCAGGACTTAGCACTTTGATCACTAGCAGTTAGACTAAATAAGAGCAGATTCTCAGAGTTCTCTGTACCTTCCAAGTGACATCTGCATCCAATTTGTTTGCTTCTGAGCAATGTAGCAAGCTACTGAAAGTTCATAGAGACCGAATTAAAGCATCTTAGGCCAACTGCATGAAGTAAAGTAATTTGGGCTGCAGTTTCTAAAACTATAATCTTTATGGAAGCAGATTGCTAAACCATTCTCTTATATATTGGCTGGTAGACTTGAACTGCCCACCTTTCAGTTAGTAATCGAGTGCTTAACCCTTGTACCAGCAGAGTGAGTTTGTGGTCGAGTGCTTAACCATCGACTAATCATTGTTTAATCTTCAGGATTTGTTGAACCCGACTCTTCCCCTTCGATTGAGGTCACGGGATAGTCTCTGCCCCTTTACCCAGCTGTATATTTAGAAATTCAGATTTATTAGATCTGGTTCTAAAAGAAAGACAGGATTTTCAGCTTGAGTGAAAGAAATGCTGTTCGTGAGTTAATTTTGTTGAAGGATTTCTTTAAAGTGAAATTTTTGGTTTTATAAGTAAGAAAAACCCCAAATCAAAGCAAGATAGCTGTTACCGATTTCTGACAGTAAAAAGATTTGGATATATTTTCCTGTTCAAATTATTTGATCCCACAGGAAGCATTTCATTTTCATTTTTCAAAGTTTAATTTTCAAATTTATGTGTTAGAATCACTAGGCAAAGTTTTTCAAAAATTAAAATTCCTATGCTTTATCTCAGGCTGACTCAGCATTTTCTGAGATACTGCCATAACCTGGCTATTCAAAAGAAAATTAAAAACGAGCAATTCTAATTAATCTTTTCCATTGATTTGAACTGGTGAGTGTGTTAAGAGAAAAACTTAAAAATCTTATACATGTTCTGATTTTATCCACTCTCAATGAACATATTAATAAAACACTTAAAAATGGAGTAAGAACACCTTCTTCCTATAATTTTGTCCTCATAGCCCTGAACTAGGACACTATTAAAACTTAATATTGGAAAATGGTTTTCATTTTAAATCATACTATAGCTTTGTTTTTCTTTTTATCTTAGGGTTCCATTAAGGACCAACTAAAGGCATATGGAGCTCTGACTGAGAATGTGACCAGGAGATATACCCGGCAGATTCTCGAGGGTGTCTATTATTTGCACAGTAACATGATCGTTCATAGAGATATCAAAGGTAAGTCATGAGATAGTTTTATTTAAAGTGCATAGTTGTTTGTGTCAATGAAATAAATGAGATCATTGAGAAATACACCATTCCATTAATACTTCTACCTCTAACGTACCACAAGGAAATAGTTCTGTCTTCTCAGTGACTTGACCGATGTTCCACTAGACCAGTCTTGATATTGACATCCCCATGAATGGATAGCTCCATGACGGAGGTTCATACAATCAAAAAAAATTTTTTTTAAACAGCACATTGCGGATCCCAGGGACATGAGGGAATATTCTCAAAGGAGGAATACAGGGCAACATGAAGCAGAGTAGCATCTTGAAAGAGTTGAACATTCGGGACATATTCAATTTCCAACTCCTTAGAGAACGAGTCTGGTATTAATTCTTATAGGAGAAAGTATTACCACACATAGAAATGCTGTCTGGAGACAAGGACCTTTTCCCAGAGCCAACAAAAGGAAAAACAATTCCCTTAGGCCAGCAATCTGAATTGAAACTTTGAGTTTCCTACTCTGGGAAAGAATAAATTTCTGTTTGTTAAAGCAGTGCATTTGTGTTATTTCTGTTATAGTGGTACTAGATAACAAAGCAGTTAAAGCCACCAGTGACTCTGAGAGAGAGACTGCTTTCCATTCCTGTAAGCAGGAACAGGGAGTCTCTGTGAGTCATCATTGACCTGATGGCTGTGAGGGAGATAGTAAAGAGAACAACTGCATGGGAAAGAATAGAACTACTCCCTAACTCCCCCAAGACTATGTATTTTTATGAGGGCAGACTGCCTTACCCTCCCACAGAGTGGCTACTCAGGTGAACCACCAGTTTTTCAGTTATCAACCTTGTAATGCACCATCAAGCTCTTTGACTCAAACTGTAAGCTCAAACTCACCGCCATCAAGTCAGCGCCAACTCCTAGCAACCCGCGAGGCCAGGGTAAAACTACCCTGTGAATTTCCGAGACTGTAACTTCAGAGGAGTAGAAAGTCTCAACCTTCTCCGGCAGAGAAGCTGGTAGTTTCGAACTTCGGACCTTGTGGTTAGCAGCCCAACTAGTGACCACTACGCCACCACTCTATTTACAGATGACATGATTCTATACATAGAAAATCCCAAAGATTCCACTAGAAAGCTGCATGCACACAAAAAAGGTTGGATTCTTTACATTGACGAGAGATTTGGAAAGGAAATCAAGAAGTCAAATATAATTTAGAGTAGCTTCTAAATTAATAAAGCAACTAGGAAAGGAAAAAATTTACATTAACACCTAAAAAAGATTAAAAAACCAAGGATTTAAAAGGCTTATACAATGAAAACTATAAGCACTACTAAGAGGGGATTAAAAGGGGCTTACATAAATGGAGGGATATTTTGTGCTCATGGATTCTAAGATTTAATATTATGAAAAAGTCAATAATATCAAAAGCAATCTATAGATACCATGCAATCCTAATAAAAATTTCAACAGTATTTACTGAAATAAAAAAACTAATCATTAGTTTTATATGGTATAGAAAGAGGACCCAAATAGGCGAAGCAATGTTAAAGAAGAATGATTAAATAGGAGGCCTCACATTACCAATCTGAAAACCTATTTTAGACTGAGTTCTCTGGAAAAGCAAAGCTAATGAAATTTACACACTGCCATCAAGTCTCATGGGCATTGAGTCAATTTTGACCCAAAGCAACCCTGTAGGACAGGGTGAACTGCCTGTATATGTTTCTGAGACTGAACCCTTTCTTTACAGGAGTAGCCCAACACCTAACCCTTTCACCACCAGGGTTCCTATGTGTATGTAGAGAAAGGTTTATATCAAGAAAGTGGCTCACACAGTTGTAGAAGCAAGCAATTGCCAAATGCATGGGTCAGACATTAGGCATTAGTCTTATGACTGGCATAGCTGTAAGACTGATGAGCCCAAGATTGGCAAAAGTGAATGAATTCAAGGTTTGAAGGCCATTGACCACCCCCAGGATCAGCAGGCAGCATGGCAGGCCATTGGCTCAAGTCCAAAGAAACATGCAGTGACAGGCTAAATGCAAGATCCAGACCCAGTCAAAAAGCAAGCAAGTTATTCTATAATATCTACTTATATTGAAAGGAGGCCCCAACCTTGAGCAGATCTCATCATGGGAAATTACTATGTCTTAACTGCCAAAACACTGATCTGGCCAAGCCAAGTTGACATAAAACCTTCCTTAACTGTCACACCTACTATATTAACTTTATATTAAACAACTTTATATTAACATATTAAACTAGTTCACTCATAGGCACAGTGATAGACCGGAGAAGGAAATTAAGAACCTAGAAGTAAATCCATCCATCTGTGATGTAGTCGATAAATGGCACTTCTAGCCAGAGTTCCTTAAGTGATGTGTTATAATTCTGGACTTTATGCACATGACTATGATCTATTTTTGAAAGAGTTCTCAGTTTCAGATTTAAAGTGGGGTTAAGTCCTGACCATAGTAAAGGATGTGAATCAGGTCACACACGTTGTTTCCTTGGGGGAATCCTTAAGACTTCTTTAAGGGGTGTGACTTCAGATACCAAGCTTTGTTTTTTGGGGGGATAAGGGAACTAAAAGACAAAAACCAAATCTCCATCAAAGTATATTAGAGCCATATGGAACACACAGATAAAGCCCAGGACTTTGAAAGAACACATCCAAGCTCTCTGTCTGAATTGGTGAAGGCTGCCAAGACCAGATTCACCAGAGGCTGTGGCACCACCACTTTTAGAAGCACTGCTGAGACTTTGAGATACCTCCTCATCTGACCTCAGACTAAGGGACTATGAGGCAGAGCAACAGTAGGCTCGGCTTCCTGGCCCATGGAGGCAAAGACCAAGGGACTGTGTGGGTGAGACACTTGACTGGTAGCTGAGGAGAAGTATATACAAACACTTCTTAGTGAGGTTTTGAGTGAGTTATCATCGAGTTGGTTCCAACTCATAATGAATCTATAGGACAAAATGGAACTGCACCAGAGGGTTTCAAGGTTATAGATCTTAAAAGAAGATAAGCTCCCAAATGATTGGATCTTGAATGAGACTAGAATACACCCAGGTATGCCCAATGAAGTAAGTCAAATCAAAAAAGACAAATATTATCTGATCTCACTTTTATAAAGTGACAAGACTAGCTTACAAATATGAAGAACAATGCTCACTGTCAGATTGTAGGGGTGGGGTGGGAAGGAAATCATTCTCTAGATAGTTGTCATTTTTATTTATTGTGATGGGAAAGATAGCACTGAAAGTGGATGAAGGATGCATAGCTTGACCAAGGTATCTGGTTCCACTGAGTTTTATACCCCAAATGGATGTTTTGGTAAATGCTATTTATATATAATTTTGTTACAATAACCAAAATATGTATGTATGGATTTATACAGGCAGCTCGGGGCTATAAACTTAAACTTACATACAACCTGTAGTTAGGTATCAAACACTGTAAAGTCTATTCTATGAAAGTTTGAGGTGTTTGCGATGGTTCATAGGAAACCCTGGTGGTGTTGTAGGTAACCGTTAGACTGCTAACAACAAGGTCACTAGGTCAAACCTGCCAGCCACCCTACAGGAGAAAGACCATGATCTCTGTTCCCATAAATACGTACAGCCTTGGAAATGGTAGGGTTCGTATAAGTCAGAATTGCCTTGATAGCAATGGCTGGGTTTTTTGTTTGTTTGGACAACGTTTCATAATAACAAATGGGCTCTATTTTGCCCTTCACACCAAAACATTATTATTGTATTATTAAGTTAAAGATGTTTCA